AATAAACACTTATTCTCTTTTCTTTTCAATAACAATTAAATTAACGCCAATGAGAAACACAAAATTTGACTTTATGTTATAGGATCTATTCTAAAATTTTGAGATTCATTTTTCCAAATGAGTAGAGAAATATTTTTTCACTAACTTTATTTAAGTATCAACTGAATCTTGCAAATATTCCTAAGCACACTATTAAATAAATAAATGGAAGAAATATAAATTTTTATCGTATGACATATTAGAAAAAGGAGAAAAATAAATAACAACATTTGTTCGCTAACAATTTGTTGGACTATAGAACAATTGATTATTGTTTATATTGATGACATCGGTCAAAAAGAATAGATGAGTATATATGCATATAAATATTGACATTCATAAATTGAAAAGAATAGATCAATAAAAGTAAACATGGAATATTCATGCATTGAATTAAATAATTTACCTGATGAAATCCTTATGATTATTTTTCAAAAATTGAACAATATTGACGTACTTTATTCTTTCCATGATGTCAATCAGGGACTAAATAAAATAATTCATGATCGAGTTTTTACAGGTCATTTAACTTTTGTCAAATGGTCATTAGATAATTTTATTGATCTATTTTCTTCTAATATAATGCTTAATCGATTTTGTTTACAAATTTTACCTTCGATTCATGATAAAATTCAATGGCTTGATCTTGATTTTTAATGGTAAGAAATTTTTATTTGAATTCTTTTTATTTTGAAACAAATGAAAGATTTATCAAAAGACTATATCATTGAATATATATGTTTAGATGAAACTCTTTCGAGTATTTTTAAAAATCAGATAACAACACTTTTTATTACAATATATAATAATAATGATGATAATCATGAACGGATGACACTTGTCAGTGGCAAATGCATGTGATAAAATCTTCAATGTTTTCACTCGTCTGACTACTTCTGTATTATATGAATCATCGTATAAAAATCGTGTTCGATTAAATTTTGATAATCCATTTTTTCCTAATGTTCGTTCTTCAACTCTTTTGAAATTAATTATCAACGTACATTCTTTTGATGATTGTCTTTATCTTCTCGATGGTCGTTTTGATCAACTTCACACGTTCCATGTCGATTTGGCTAATACTGGGTGTCCAGATGAAATTATAAATCAAGTTAGTTTTACAAGAAAAAAATTCAATGTTGTCAAACAATAAAACATTTTACTTTTTAGGGCGATTTACCAAATCTAAAGTGTTTTTCTCTTTCCTGTAAACTCGCAACATATCATTATAATGAAGCCATTCTTCCACTTCTCTGTCGAATGTCAAATCTAGAAGAACTCGGTTTATGTCTTACGGTATATGTTAAAAAAACATTTATTGATGGAAATCATTTAAAGACAAAAATTATTAAACAAATGACACGATTAAATCAATTTACATTTTTTATTAGATCATTCATCAATATTTTTAATGAAATGAGTTTTCCATCAACAGAAGATATTCAACAAACATTCATTGACTTTCCATTTAATAAAATGATTTCTTATTTTAATAATTTTGCAGATAGAAAACAAAGTCAATGTTATATTTATTCATATCCATTTCTAACGCGATATTATACTGGCATTACAAATAATTTTCCAGGTGGATTATTTGAACATGTTCGTTCGGTGTCATTATTTGATGAACAACCTTTTGAACATGAATTTTTTCTTCGAATTCAGAAATCATTTCCATTTATAGAAGAATTATCTTTAGTTAATGGTAAACCACAAAACCGAAAACAATCTTATGAATCAAACAGTAATAATCAAACTTTATCGCTTATTGAATATTTTTTTCTTAAGAAACTTTATATTAGCAATGTTCATGATGATTATATAGAACAATTTCTTTTTCATATTAAAACATATTTGCAAAATAATATTATTGTTTATGTTGATTATGAATCTTTACAACGAGTAACACACAATTTTACAAGAGATTCTACTCGAACTAATTGTGCCAAAATAAGTAAATTACATTTATGGGGTCAGGGAAAACGTTCCAATTCTTTAGAAGAATATTTTCCTTATGCAAAAATATGTTATGGAATATATTGAAAGATAAAAAAAAAATAAAGTATTAAATAAAAGAAAAACAAAATAAAATAAGAGAAAAATGTTTTTTTTTTTTATTGTTGTAAAAAAATAAAATTTCTATAGAGATGAAAACAATCATGTGTGATAAGTAGAAATCTGAGAAATAAATTAATTTTTGTTTAAACACATATATATGTATTATGTATTGAATTAAAACATAAGTTTTGCAAATTTTTGTGCAGCATCAAAGATAACTATAACTTAGGTCAATTTTTGACCAGATAATGTGATATACGTAGGTTTGTAGAGGAAGACTTCCTCTATCCAATCGTGTATATATATATATATAATGTCAAATTCTGCTGCATACTGTGAGAGAAAATTAAATTGAAAAATGAGAGATTTAATGCGAGTTTTCTATATAAAAATTAAAATCAAGCATAGTCAAGCTAAAAATCTGTACGCAACAGGGTTTAATAATATTGGATCGAGGAAGTCTTCCTTTATCAACCTACATTTATTCGCTTATCTGGTTAAAAGGTTATAATCGCCTTTATTTTACGACAAAGATATGTAATATTAATCAAGAATATAATCAGAATTATTTTCGACAGCATTCACTCATCTTACTGGTAATTGTTCAATCTCATGTTTTTATCGAGAATTTGAAATATATTACAACCAAAATAATTAATGAGTTTTAATGTGACTTGTTGTAACTAATCGAGTGTAACTTGCCATTCTTAGTTGTATTTTCCCAATTTCTAGCAACAAGTAATGAGTTAATTGTTATATACGAGGTCTATTCCGATGGAATCAATCATAATAAATAAATCCTTCAAATATAAATATCATCTATAGGGTGTGGGTGTGGGTGTTGATATTCTCTTCTCAAACACCCACACCCTTCTCCCTTTTTTTTAATGATTATTTTTTTGAAATAATATCAAATCAATGATTTTTTTTTGAAGAATTTGGAACATAATAATGATTACTTTTTAATTGTTGAAGATGTTAAGAAATTGAAGGACTTGATTGTTTTACAAATAATGAAAAATAACAAAAATGATCGCGAGAAAAACATCTCTAATATGTCTTCTAGTGTTGATTACTTTAATATTTATCTTCTTGTTCCGTTCCAGTACCATTAAATGCTGTTATCTTACTCTGAATTTGATTTTCACGATAATATTTGATCGTATACATCAAAATCAACGATCTCTTCGAAAATAACGGGTGTCCCAGGAAAAATGGACCTCTCAGTGTTTTTAAGATTTCTTCTCTATTATCCCTGTAATTAAAGCTCTTTTTATTATCAAAAGATAGCGCTTGAAATTCTCTACAAAATCACGTATGACTAAGCCTAAAAACTGTCTTAGATATATTTGAAAAAAGATGAAAACTGAAGACACACAAGCAGCTGTAATTTGTAAATATGTCACCAATAATAAATGGCTGCACTTTGTATTTCATATTGTAATCTCTAAATACGTTTTATTAAAAAAAAACAGAATATACCATAAGATGCAGGATAAAAAGCTCTACAATCTACAAACTAAAGTTTATTTTAACTGTGTACTTTTTGTTTCCAGAAAAAGCAAAACTCTGTGCAATGGTTTTTCACCGTTGCGAAAACCGATCGCACGGACTTTGGAGTTGTTTTGAACTTAAAAATGACACAAATAAAATAAACTCTTCTTTGTAAATTATAAAGCTGTTCACGCTGCATCTTTTGGTATATTTTTGATTTTTTTAAAAGAAACATATTAGGTGATAAAAAGATAAAATAAGAAAAAGAAATTCTCGTTCGTGTAAAAAAAAATGATTTTTTTCACAATGGCGAAAGTTGTTCGTGCAGAATTTTGCTTTTTTGTAAACAAAAAGTATATAATTAAAATAAACTTTAGTTTGTAGATTGTAGAGCTTTTCATCCTGCATCTTATGATATATTCTGTTTTTTTAATAAAACGTATTTAGAGATTAAAATATGAAATGTAAATTACAGCCATTTATTATGGGACACCCGTTATTTACAAATTACAGTTACTTGTATGTCTTCAGTTTTCGTCTTTTTTCAAGTATATCTAAAATTGTTTTTGAGCTTAGTTATATATGGTTTGGTAGAGAATTTCAAGCGTTATTTTTTGATAATAAAAAGGGCTTTAATTACAGAGATAATAGAGGAGACATCTTAAAAATACTGAGAGATCCATTTTTCATGGGACACCCGTTACTTTGTGATTGAAGATGCACAGTCCTTCGACTAAAAAAATAGTTTTTAGTTTTTCTTTGATAGTTTCAAAAATTATATTTTTGTTCAAATAAACATTGCTTTTTAATATAAAATCTAATCGTTTATACTTTTCTTCTCAGAATAAAACAAAAAGTAAAGGTAGAAATATATTCTCATCAAGTAAACATGTCTGTAGTTGACATTTCGGGCAACTAAACATTTAATTAGAACATTTCTTGTCATATCATTATGGAAGAGAAAATGAATATTTGTTAAATAAAATAATTTAAATGATGGAAATTTCTCTTTATTTGTTCTTGAGAATTAATTATTTGGATGAGATCGCTGAAAAAGAGAATGTTAAATATGAATTAAAATTATCGTTATGTATATCAAATATTTATCGAAAAAATTTGTTTTGATTGAGTTATTATTTTTAATATATTCTTCGAAATGTAAGATTTATCTTTTTAGTTTCATACCAATTATTATGGTGAACTTAAAGATGAAGGATCATTTTTAGCATCTACATCTACATCATCATAGACGTGGCATTCGAACATATGTTCATACAATAAAACTTTTGATATTAACCATTTTAGAAAATTTTAAACATCAACCTTAGAACTTTGGATCAGCATTAAGTATTCTAAACAGAAGATCATATCTTCAATCTTATGTATGTCATTAATCATTTTTTAGATATGCCAATAGATTCTGATATGTTATTATTATAAAAGAGAAGCAGAGTTTACGTAGGATATCTTGGAGCTGGATTCGAGTATTCCGCAACTGAATTCGCCTGTAGGTTATACCAAACGGTGAAAAGGGTATACCAAGATAGATCTCGACGAGATCTATCGATTCCACTATTTACTTTTTCTCCAAGACCCTCCCTTCATGGAAAGAAACCCAAAATACTGACAAAAAATAAGCAAAATAGCAAGCGTTTCCCGTAAAGCGTAACTGGATTCGCCTATAGGTTATACCAAAACGAGAAAATGCTATACCAAGATAGAACTCGACGAGCTCTATCGAATGAACACCTTTTCGACTCGATTCAATGCCTGGATCCCCTCCGAAACGGCAAATCCAGGCCGAAATCCGGGTGTGGGAGTGGGTGTGTGGGTGTCGGTGTGGGTGTGGGTGTGGAGTGTTGGTGTGGGTGTGGATGTGGATGTGGGTGTTGAAGAAGCGAAAACCAACCCACACCTACACACCCACACCCACATCCTCACCCACACCCACCCCATACCCATTGTATGAACAATATTTAGTTTTAACTAGTAAAAAAGCAATTTTTCTTTATGAAACCTAAGGGTAACCCCAAGTATAAAAATTTGTAGTGTTACATTTTAACAAATGAAGTTAAAAACATGATCAGCGATGATCGTGCTTTCGGTAATGTAAAACGCTCATGCTCATGAGCGCTCATATGGGCGTGAGCGTGAGCTGTACACCCCTAACACTCATATCCACACACCCACACCTCACACCCTTCATCCATATATTCAAGTACTTGTTGTAGATGTTGTAAAAATTCTTGTTTGTGTACTAAATCGAATAAATCATCACTATGAATAAACATTTGGAGAATAGTAATTACATATTCGAATAGCGCATGGAGTTCTCCACAACTCTTTATGTTCGATTTAAATTGCATCTGTTTATTTAAAACAAATTACAGAATAATGAGGGCAGCTTCATCGTCAGATTCTCTAATTATGTTCAATTCTTTTTTATCACTTTCTGCTCATCGAATAAGTGTCAAGTGACGACTGACAAGAATGCAGGATGATAGAGCATTGCATGCGCTTTCAGAATATACACTTACTTTTAATGAAGAAAACAGAATAAAAAATTGGACGAAAAAGAATGAAAAAATGCATTTCCAGAGAATCTGACGATGATGGTGTCTTCGTTGTTCTTTAACTCTTAAAAGTCGGAGGTGGTTTCTGCGACGATTTGAGGGTGGGTGTAGATGTGGGTGTGCGGGTGTGAAAGAGTGTGGGTGTGTGAGTGGGAATGGGTGTGGGTGAGAGTGGGTGTGTGGGTGTGTGGGTGTGTGGGTGTGTGGGTGTGTGGGTGGATGTGGGTGTGTGGGTGGATGTGGGGTGTAGGTATGGGGTGTGGATGTGGGGTGTAGGTATGGGGTGTGGATGTGGGGTATGGGTCTGAATGCTAGTGGTGTATTAAGCCATACCCACACCCACACTCACATCGACACACCCATACCCCATACCCATACTAGAGTCCGTCGGGTCCAAGAATTTCTGGACCCGGACCCGACTCGGACCCGATTGATTAAAATTCGTTGGACCCGGATCCACCCGGACCCGGTCGATTAAATTTTTTTTAAAGTCCCAGATTCGGACCCGGACCCGAACTTTAGCGGTAAAAGTTTAAAAATCTGGGCCTTGATCCGGACCCGATGAACGTTAGATTTTCAGATCCGGACCCGATGGACTCTAACCTACAGTCACCGACACCCACACCCACATTCCATACCCCACGCCCACACCATACTGACACCCTCAAGACGCGAACTTCTGTAAGCTGCCTACAATAAAAATACAAATATTAAAGACAAAATTTGTCCTTGAAATTGTTCTAAGTCGTCATTACATAGTAAATCGATGACTGACAATAACAATATTCATATTTCGAACGATGGTGCGAGCCTATTTAATACTTGTATCACATAAGCAATCCCATGTTGCTTTTGCGACATTTTTTTTCTTCTATAAAGATTACTTTTCCGGAGAAAAATTAAGTGCTGAAGAAAGCA